ACTATTTTTTTATGTTATTACATTATGTGATTTATTAATAAAAATATACCCAATTTTGTTTGATTTAAAACGCAATAAAATTTCTATGCAACATGGGACTATTTTATTATCTGAAATCCTGTGCCACAAAGAGTTAAGTCTACCGGAGGCTAGGAGATATCGAGTATCGGATTCTCCGTGGAAATTAACTGCGCAAGAAAAGACGAACGTCTTGCGACGCTAAGATTTTGAAGAATCTCTATCGATCTCGGGGGCCCCGCCGACCGAAAATTTCCTTCCCATTCCCCCCGCCGGCGGGATCGAATTTCAATGCGCCGTCCGACCTAGCCTCGAGGCAAAATCCGGACTAGGATTTCTTATATTCACGTCGTGAATCATCCCTTGGAATTTGAACACGTGTCCCGAGATGTATGTCACGTATGCGGCCGCCCGTACACCGAACGATTCGATTCGTCTATGGATGCACGGTGTAATGAACGCGGACGCTTTTTGCTATTTTCCCATACACATCGTTGCGCGAGAACAATGGCGGAATTTCCGCAGCGAAGTTTGGTTAGAAAAAAGAACGTTACCACTGGGGAGTTATCTCGGACAAACTATCAGAAACTACTTAATAAGCTTACGACCAGCATAGAGGTCGCGTTATAGTAGTTATTAACAAAGTCCAATAAATACACTCTCAGAATATATTTAAAATCTTTTCGCTCGAAAGTCCCTGCTAACCTACATGTGTATTCCTATTCGACAAAAGTATCTACGAGAGTGGTAAATAATTTATTAAGAATAAGAGTCCAACAAATACACTCTCGTCTACAATATATTTAAAGTCTTTTCGCTCGAAAGTCTCTGCTAACCTACATGTGTACTCCTGTTCGACAAAAGTACCTACGAGAGTGGTGAATAATTTATTAAGAGATCCTCACCTCGAGAAGTTAGATGGCACTGCTCTCCAAGGAATACAGATTTTCTGTGAAGCGCAGCCGTGACGATATTTTGGGTCCAGTCAACCGCCGTGCACAATCGCGTAGAAAAGGGAGAAAGAAACAGCTTCGAACATAGACTCACTGTGTTCTCTGAAGTAGAGAAGGTTCAATGACCAGCGATAAAACGCGCACCAGCGTACCGTCGTAAAATCGGAAACCAGCCTGGCGTAGTTCGAAAGCCGACCGGAAGGCGGAAAGCGAGCACGAAGTTTCGAGGCTGGATATGGTAGTACGATTATAAACGCCCATCGACCATGGGAAATTAACGCGTTGGATTGCCGCCGAATCGAAACTGACAACGAAACGTCCCGTAACGGACTACCGTCGTGCGCGTCCTCGGATGCGCGCGCGACGGAACCCGGAGTTTCTCGTGAGATCGCGTTGCATAGACTCACGAAAAACGCGGGAAACACTGATTACCAACCGTCGAAGTTATCCTCACCGATCGAATAAGCAGAAATTAACGAGTTTTAACTTCTTAACAACGTTAGTCACAGGATACACCGAATATAAACTTTCTCGATCTTGTAAATAACTGCGTGAAATGTTGTAAAACGAATATTGAGGTCAGGATTAGGTTAGAGTCGTGTCAAGGTGGGGGCAAAAGGGACACGTACCTTTTGGGCGCCATATTATGAGAGCGACAATTGAATTAACTACTTTAATTCTTTACCGTACGTATAATATGTGTAAAAATTTTAATGGGAGATTCTAGAGGCCAAAATAACACGAAAATCGAGAACACCAATTTATTGATGAAAAATTATTAACGTTTAAACTTCCGCCTGTACTGAATTTTTTTCTCGAAAGTGCGTAGGATTTTGGGGGTATGTCTATTGACCAAAAATGATTATAATCGACCCCCACAACTAAATATAATTTTTTTAGAACAATATGAAATCTTTTAATTTTGACGAAAATTTGTCCACATTCCAGAATTTTTTTCTCAAAAGTGCGTAAGATTTCGGGGGTATGTCTATTCACCAAAAATGATTATAATCGACCCCCGCAACTAAATATAATTTTTTTAGAACGACATGAAATTTTTCAATTTCGTCGAAAAATTTGACCTACTGAATTTTTTTCTCGAAAGTGCATAGGATTTCGGGGGTATGTCTATTGACCAAAAATAATTGTAATTGACCCCTGCTACCGAAAATAATTTTTTTAGAATTTTTACTAAACTGAAAAATATTAACATTTTCTTTTTCAAATCTACCACTCAAATGTTGTTTATCTACTAAACAAGAACGTAGTCGTGTCTTTAATATGTTGTGAAAATTGCATACAACAAATTATCGCATGAATTATTACCCTGGGTGCCAAAATACCTAGGTACAGCCCTCACAGTAAATCAAGTTCTAATTAAATTATTTCGAAAACCACGGTTTACAGTTTGAAAATCGAAAAGCGGTCGATCGAGTGTTCGATCGGCATTCCGTTCGTTGTGAAACGTCATAATCGAGAGACAATTATTTTGTTTAACAAACGCATGCACTTGTGACGCAACGATCGAAACTGGATACAAGGCGTGATTTATGTAAATCGTCGCGTCCCGCGTAATTCGACATTCTTTTTTGCTTTCCGGTTTTTATCGGATTCAAGCTGTAGTTACAGTCAATTATAGTCGTTAAACATTGTTTTGTTATAATGTAATGGACCCCGCTCACGGAGCGCGCCCGTAGGCGAGTACACGGGTTGCATTTTGCATAAATTACGTATATAGTTGTGTCTGGTTCGCGTGGTCGCTCGACGTTATTGTCAAAATAATGCGAGAGCAGGTTGCCGCTGCGGGCTTGATAAAACAAATAGACCCGTGACACGTGAGTTGTATATTCGACCTTTTCATGGACTGAACGGACAATTGTTTCTCGCGATCGCGGAATTAAAATAATAAAAAAAAAGAAACGGAAGAAAAAATGCGGGAAGACTTCGTGTACTTTCGAAATTAAAACGAAAATAACCAGCGCGGCGGTGACGCGTGTCGCGATAAGAGAAATGAAAATAAACTGAAAACGGAAAATATATTACAGTAAATAACGAACGCTCGTCCGTCAGTTCCACGAACCATATAACAATGTTCAAATATTACCGGGCGAGTTCTGGCCTGTTTGTAAATAACCCTTTATTTCCCGGTAACTGTTCCGCGTACGCGTGGTCGTCGAGTTTTGCAACGGATAAACTACTTAAAAGTTGGTAGCACTGATAAATGTATTTATTCTTAACGTGTAACACGCGTGTTTGCAGGATGTCTCGCATGAACTGTTACGAACTAGAATAAGAGAAGGTTCGTAAAACTAGTCGAGTAAGAGCGAACGAGTCGACGCGAGTTAACCCGAGTTATTGTCACCTTCGATTTGAAAACAGTTTCCAATATTTTATACGGCAATATTTACCTGGTTTTTTAATGGCAGTTTGCCCGAGTCAAGTTCACTGTTCGCGATTTAAAACATACAAAATTGTAGGTTAGAATTTTCGTTCGAATTACACGTATCCCGTGAATTTTCCAAAATTAATGGTTGCTACGCTATGAAAAGAACGGAACCCGTAATTGAACCCTATCCGTTGACAAGGAGCGACGTGTTCGTTTCTATGGAAACGCTTCGAGTGCATTCCGCAGAAAGAGTTAATACGCGTAATTTTGTCGGGAAGCGAACGTATACGTCTAGCGAAACAGTTGGGGGGGGGAGGGCAAAACAAAGACGAGAAACGAACGCGAAGGAAGAATGCAAATGGCACGCCGTACCAAATGTGCCGGCGTTTCTCTTATCGTCATTTATTAAAAGCGCCCGGTAAGCGGAACAATGCAAATGGTCTCGTTATGACATGCTCTCTTCCTACGTAATCCCCGTGGACAACGTTTGAAAAACGAACGTCGCGCTGAACGACTTGAAAGCGTTGTTCTACGAAAAAGCACCAGGAATATCTTCCTTTTACGAGCACCATCGACTGTAAACCGCGAAGCTGAATCGCAACGAGGATCTCCGATCGTCCAAGTACGAAATTTCATACGCATGGAAATGTAATTTCCGGCTCGAAATTATATGTCGATGGTTTTCTTTCTTCGAACATTACGTAGAGATCGACAGGTGAAATTAGATCGCGTTAGCGAGCAGAAAATCGTTGCTCGGTCTATAAAAATCAATGCTCGTAACGAGCGTCGAATTGTTTTGAGAAAAAAGTCACGGATCAGTAATTTTCGTGTCCACGGGGCAAAGCAACCGAACAACGAACGCGGGGACCCTGCGTATCAGACACGGACAGGATGTAACGGGTCGTCAACTTGACATTGAGAAATTCGAACGATTACGAAAAAGAATTCCGTCGTATCGGGACAAGGGGGTATCGGACTACTTTATGGTAATTTAAAACGAGTTTGAGCACGGCGGAAAAATATGTCGTGGCGCGTTTACTACTGGTGTGCCTAAGGCGTGGACAAAAGATGAATTTGAGACCGATGACCTTTCTCCTCGTGGAGAAAGACAGAACGAGAGTGAAGAAGAAGAAGAAGGAAGAGGACCGCGGAGGAAGAGACAGGTCAAGAAAGATCATTCGAGAAGGCTCCGTTAGTTGATCAAGCGCGAAGGCTATTTAACATTCCGTGTTTGGAAAGGACGCACTTACTTTAGGAATCGCAGATGTTCAACGGACTGGCAGTGCTAGTTTTCAAACTTGTTCTCGGCTGCTCTCGCTTGATCTTTCCGTTTCACGCTCCTTCTCCCGGTTCTCCGCCTCTCCTTTCTCTACCGTGTGTCTTTTTTTCCGTGAAAACCTACCCGAGAAAGGCTGTCGAGTACCGCTTCGACGTTAACGGCCGAAGGGTTCGTACGTTAGGACCCGTCCCACGGCAGAAATATTTTAATCGAGGGATGACAGCTTGCACAACAAGTAGGTCATAAGCGGCACAGTACGCGCAAGAAACGGCTAGATACCACGTGAACGATTTAACAGCTCGACACGACGGCGAGACGACGTTTCTGAAACGCGATCACGCGTGTTTACGTCGGCGGAACTCACCTCAGCTCGACGGGGACTGCGGTAACGGCTCGTAACGATTTGAAACGAGCGCACTGAGTCCACTCCATGCCTGGTACACGCACGACCACAGTCTTCTCCGCTACTTTTACCCTCGATTTTAATCTGCCCGAACACTCGTGGACATGCTGGCTCTTGTTGAACGCGGATAAAGATCGTCGGCGCACACTAATACTCGACGGTCACGACGCAGAGGCGCGAAAAACGCGAAAATCCGACGGATCCGCGGTATAATGTCACGAAATACGTACCGAGTCGGCGAACGTCGAGCCACTACCGTGGCGACTACGCGCGCCAAGCGGCTGCACTAAACTCTCTAGCCACCGAACGTTTATAGGGATATTCCCCAAAACGACCGTTACCCCTAACCTTCGCGTACCCTCTCTATTTTCAAATAACCCTTTCAATTTTACAGTTTCGGTTAAACAAAAACGGAAGCGTCTAACGTTTCAACACGATCAAGCACGCCATACAACATTTTACGACTACTAATATTTTGTTTCAAACACATCTACATATGAATCGTGAATAAATTAACTTAAATAAAAAAGCAGAAAATGTAATACCAATAGAGTACTCATACAACCACTAAAAATCCAACAAAATTATTTAACCAACCTGATATATTCTGCAGGGAAAAGCTCATTCTAGAAACAGAAACAAACGATAATTCGACTGACTCTTTCAGAAAAGAAAAATTATAAACAATTGACTATGTCGTGAAATTTGCATATATGTCTCCGCTGGAAGGTTGAACGAAAGAATAAATATCCAACGTACTTATATATAAAATTGAATTTATTCTATATACACGTTCTGTAGATATTCTTATTATACAATGTACCTAAACGTTACGAATCGCACGAGATAGATTTAGATTCGAAATTATAACAGTATTTTCTTATATTGTTCGTATGCCAATACTTGCAACAGTTTACTTTTATACGTCGGATCTAAAATGCCGCGAAGTTCATTTTCAAGGCTAGGAAGATAACTTTCATATTTGTTTACGTACGTCCTAAAAGACAAGGATTTTGAAATCTCGACGTTCAAGCGAAAATTTATCCACTCTATTATGTCGTCCGATAATACATTATCTACAGAGTCGTCCATGTGTTCTAACAAAAACTGAGCACAAACCCTTGATGTTTCCACTGGTTCGTAAAAATCGTAGTTGGTGCATTTATTGAACACCTAATATAAAAAAAATTAAAAAAAAAACCAATATTTTATATAAAGTAGAATTTTTCAAATACTGTTTTACTTACGTCTGTCTCGTCCATTTTGTAGTCCGTATCATCCAACAGTGAAATGCCCCAATAAAAGAGCACGATGCAGAAAAGCTCTGGATCTTTCTTATGTACGCACTGATAGAACTTTTCGAGGAGCACGTTCGTACGTGAAAACTTATAATTATCATCGGATAACGAGCAATGTATTGGAATATGATCGATCAACATAAACGTCTCGTGTCGTACGTCAGAATTGTTGTCCAGCAGCAATTGCAACACTGTTGTCCACCATTGAATTTGTACATCTGTAACCAACATATTTAATTAATAATATTTAATTAATATGTTGGTTACGTTCGAATATATTAATAGTAAGAAATTTTATACATACATCGGTATTCGTCGCGTTCGTAACATATTAAGAAAAGGCTTCGCGTTATTTGAAAAACGGAAGCTCTGAAATCTGTGTTCAAGGACGCGATCCAAAAGTTATCGCAAAAACTTTCATATACATCATTAGTACATTCCAGACAGATTTCTTCTGCGACCTTGAGAACAAACACGTATATTTATAATTCCTAAAAAACAAAAACATTATTTAAGAAATACTTACGTCGTCAAGAGAAGTTAAAGTTACATACGACTTTCCGAGTAATCTCAAATAATTGTCCCTCTCGCAATAACTGCTTTTATTATCGTTTAGTCGTATTTCGTTTAACACAAATTTACAGATATCCATTGTTTTCGTGGAGCTAGACAACTCAAACTGATTGAGATATACCAAGCTGTTATAGAGGAAATTGAACATTGCATCTTGCAAGTCTGGATTGTATCTATAGAGGTCTTGTATCGAATAACGAATTATCTCAATAGCATTATCTAATAACAGCATTGTTTTGTCAGTATCCGTTATTTCGTTAATAACGTCCATTAGAGTCGACCATGCAAAAATTTGTGTTTCTGGACATCTTAAACTATGCACGTATACGCTAACTAGTACAGACTGTTGAATTGGATGGGTTTCTTTTATTATAGATCGTATAAATTTAATAACAGAGACTTTATAATTTTCTCGCGCGGGTCCTTCTTTCAATTCTTCGTATTCTACTAAATGCGATTTCAACATAGACAACACCGATACGTCCCGCTTCAGATATATTTCATCCACTTTACATACTTTGTTACAAACATTTATATATACTGCAGCCAATAAGAAACACGAGGGTTTAGAATTTACACGTTCCAAATTTTCTAAGATCCAAGTCGTTCTATTGAAAAATCTGTCCCAATCTACGTTAAACGATCGAAAATGTTCAAGGCTACAACGTTTCAGTATTTCAAAGATCTGAAAAGGTAACAGGAATGAATATTTCAAGTTTTCTGATCATTCGAAGTGGATGAAATTTACGCACTAATGTACACACCTGTAACATGTAACCATGCATTAAATTTAATGACAGACAAGCTTTCTCTGCAGATATTACATTTTCCATTATTTCTATCAAAACATTTTCCACAGAGCGTTCTGTTAATAATGCTACAAGCGCCCTTGCCGCTAGTTTACGTGTTTCGTATACTTCGCTTTTAGCACATTGCATAACTAATGTAACCAGGTCATTGATCTGAAATACGCGTACTGGTTTTACTATTAAACAATGCCATTACTAAATAATTCATAATTACCTTCCACTGACTATCGGTAGATTCAGAACTGTGGCTATGATACAATCGTGATAACAATAATAAAATCGATTGCACGTTCGATTTTATAATGGTATTATCCGCTGTAGCAAATGTTTGCAATTCGTTTAAAATGAAGGGCAACAAGCGGGGGTACTTTTCAAAAAATAAATTATAATTCATTTTGTTATCGTTGGTGAGATCAATATGATCTTTCGTCCTTTGAACGCCAAAGATTCGAATAATAAGGGCACTGAAAAGTAACGTTGCCGCGTTTCGTTCCTGTAAAAATTGTTACGTTTTATTTTACTTATAACTAGAGTATGAAATTATCAATGTTCTAAAATTTGCTCACCGCCCATGTCAAAGCATCGTAACTTTTAAATGCCGCTATTAGACCATCTGCTACGTAATTGTTTACTATTTCTGCAAGATTAGAATGTCTGAAAATTGCTCTTAGAATATTCAATGCGTGAGTTTTGATCTCCGTGACTTGAATACTACTTCCATCTATGCAATGATCAGTATTGCACTGTATGGATTCAAATGTGTTTTCATATTCCGAGAACACTGATTCTGTGTACATTAACGTTTTTATCTTCTTCCATAGATTTGCATTTTCCAATTGCGTGAATCCTAACAAAATTTTCATCACAGAATCGAATGTCGTCGTCTTTGTATTTTTGTATTGGCGAGGCTCTGTAGATAGTAAAGCCTATTGAGTAAAATTTGTATGTTTCGTGTTTAGTAAATAGACTCGTAAAAGCATGAGATCAAAATAGAATTTAATCTTGCATACTTGTATCATAAATGGTACGCCCGCGCTTCTCCGTGTCGCGCACAATTTCGAATTCTCCTCTTTAATTCCCGTGATCGCAATCAATATCTGGTGCAACCACATTTTGGGCAATTCGCTCAAGCTGTTGTTCAAACGCCAAAGACGAGAACACAGCTGACTAAAGCCTACGTGTGCTTGTTCGAATGCCCCTCTATGCTTTGTTTCGGTAAGCAAGGTGACCAAGTGTTCTCCTATTTTGATAATCTATTAAAATATGAGACTAACTTATTCACCATTAAGAAGATGGTCATTTTTTGCTTTTATCGTGAATATAAATCATGATAGTTTACTTGCTCCTCGTTTAAAAGTTCTATGGAAGAATCGTCTTCGCATATTGGTACTTTAGTGGCTAGGAAGCCAAATAACAAACTGACTTCTTTCACGGTTCGCCAAGAACAGAGGAGCACCATTTGTGGGGTTACTACTTCCTTTTCGGACGAGGCGCCACATATTGCGCGAACTGTTTGTAAATTTAGGTCCATTGGTAAATGCCCTTCGGGCGAAGAATTGTTAACTATCAAAGAAACTGCACAACTAAGTTCAAAACATACACATATAAGCTCCGATATAGCGTGTTTCCAAACTAATTTCTGTTCTACTTCTTTAAAATCACATTCTTGTAACAAATTTCGAATACAAAAAAGGTAGCCGTACAAAGAATGTTTAGTAACCGTCAATACTATATTTTCCCTCGCGAGAATCAAAGCTTCCTTTAATTTGTTTAATAGAATCAATACTAGTTGCAACGTTACGTTTATAAAACTCGATTGAAATCCGTGTACGTTCTGTATAACAGGTGATAACATGCTTACTTTGAACATGTATGCAGCTGTTATACTGTCAATAGGCCTGATACTGTTACCTAACTCTATAGCAACTGTAATAATATTGTTCACGTTATTCGCATCATCTAATGGTAACAACCTTGGTTCCATCGACTTTATCAAGTTAAACGCCATTTCTTTATTAGTCTCGTACGTGTCTAACAACATTAGATCGAACAACATTTTCACTTGACGAGTCTTCCAGGTAATACGTTTGAATTCATTATCTAACAAATCCTTCATCAGAAGTAATATTTGCAAAGAAGATCGTCTACGACAATACGTAGCATCGGGGCCACATATACACATATTGCACAGAGATTGAAAAGTATTGCAATACTTATTTATATCCCTTTCAACTTCACAGGATATTTGAAAAGAATTGTCCAACACTTCTTGCTTTATTTCCAACGGATTGCAATTTTTTTGATACCGAGTTCTCAGTTTTTCTTCTTGAACACACTGTCGCCTCATAACAGCTAAACTGTCCTTCATACGTTTCAGAGCCTACGAAACAAAGATAACGATTCGTGATTAAAAAATTCTCGTTGCGTTTACCAAAAATCTTACCTTTTTTATCACGGGTACGAATTCTAATTTCTCTTTAAAATTAACACGTAAAAACAAGATAATTATATCGAGTTCTCTAGATGTGAATTTCAAAGTACTTTTTTTCGATTCTATTATAAGCGAAAGCGTATTCAATTTAATCTGAAACAAAAGTGGATGGTGGCATTAAATCGAAGATTTAGGATTATTATAAATCTAGTGAATTCATATACTTCATCGTCGTGATGTTGCACATAACGTTCTAAACAATCGTAAGTAATAGAATCCCGCCAAGAACATTCATCTTTCGGATTTAAAAATTTGTTATCCGTGTCCAATTCTCCACTACGTTTCAATGTTAACAACTCTTTCAATTGTTGTTTTATTTCCATCTGTGCAAACATGTTACCACGACTTATTCAAACTGGAACATAAGAGAACACGTGTCCGTTGTTTGGTTGAGCCGCGCTCATTGCACAGATCACAGATCGCAAGCAACGATAAAAAGTACCACGGACAACGAGTGAAGTAGACATACGACGTAGGGAAGTTCTTGTCACGCTACTAACGTACCGATCTTGCGAGAAATTGATACCATACGCGAGTCCCTGTGCATAGCCTTGTCGCGCACTCTACGTTTGAGAACAGCGACTCCTGGTTAGAAACGTGGTCGCCGCGGTGAAAACATCATACGCATCGTACGCGCGTAGGTACATACACTGGGTACTACGCGTTGTCTGTGATTTTGATAACCATTTGCGGAGCATTAGAACGGTGAGAGCAACGTAGGATGAATCATCGTAAGATGCGCGCGCACGTAAGTACGACTGTCATCATTCTCTACGCGTTGCACGCTTGCATTTACTAATCTCCGCGGAGTGTGTAAGTGTTGACAAACAGTTTAAAGGAAAGACGGAAAAGCAACGTATCGTATAATATTTATTTGCACGACGAACAATACCGTGTCTTCCTGAATGCACGGCACATCGAATCATTTAGGAAGAATCGCGAGTTTCTTTCATACAGTGTCGGTGAGTTTTCTATAAATAGAAATGTTTTCAGAAAAACTGAACGTTGAGAGATTATGTCGCGAGATACTCTGTTAACGTGTTCGTCGTATCGCCGTGGAATTTAAATTCCAAGAGGCGTTGTTATAAAAACTGTTTCAAATTGTGGCAGTTATTTCATAAGTGTGTTACCGAGATTTATTCGTCGCACCGAGTAGCCTACATACTGTACGAATGTTTTAAGATGCAAACGAGATCGGTTCGTCTATCACGCTTCCTATATACGTGTGTGTCGTTTTTGCGGCGCGAAGCGAAAGAGTTGGAACGAAAGCATGTAATTTCGTGTGATATGTATACGCGATACGTATAACGTTTCGGTAGGCGCGCGTTGAGCCTTGATCGGTCGCGCTATGGGAGGTCCCTTTCAAAAAAAATTAGAATCGATGGGAGCGAAAGGGACGGAAAGTATAACTGTGCCTGAAATAGGAGTCAACAGGGAAGGACTTTGAATGGATGTCTTTCAGCTGGGAGAAATTATTTTTAGCCATGTTAGGCACGCGACAGGGGATTATAGTTTAAGATCGCGCAGATCTCGTTTGAGTAACAGTTTCTACAAACTTTTCTTGGTTAGCATATATATTTATATTTTTCTATAGGGCTATGGAGAATGAACAGCGGCATTATGAATTAAGAAGCGGTAGCAGATCACGCTCTCAGACTCCTTTGGTCCTCAGTCGTGCCTTGATAGAACCGGAAACTCTAGAACACCATTATGATTTACGAAATCGGAGTAGGGAAAGGTCTCATACACCCGCAGAATCCACAAGTAGCAGACGGTCCGGTTCTAGATCCTTGTAAGTAGAAAATATGTCCGTTGCCGTTGGATTCTTGGTTCAAATCTTACTATTGTTTTAGGCCTAGTAGTAGCAGTAAAACGTACGAACATACTATAGATACGATAATAGAAAAGGATGAGGAAGCCGACAGAACAAGGTCTTACGTAGAGAGTCAAAGTAAGCGGCCTGAGAATCCTACGAGAAAGATGGAGCGCAGGTCCGAACGACAGAAAGTGAAAAGGGATATATTCTCGAACGGACAAAACGAGAAGGATAATTCTTTTAATCGAAAAATTGAGACGCGGTACAAAAGTAACTCTCCCCGTAGAATGGTAACTAGCGATTATTCTTCGGAGGAAGAGAAACGAGAAGACGTGCCTAAAAGACCGACTACCGCGCATGAAATTTACAAACAAGCCGGCGATTGGTGGAAGTACGTGTTTCGAATATTATAACCTCGTATATTTGTTAAAATTACTTTCGAGATATTTTGTCATATTCATACTTGGCAAACGTTTCAGCGTATTCCCAAAGACGGACTACACTTATTCGGAAAAGTCTCACTGTCGTTACGAAATAGCACCTGGTGTATTAGCAATGCCCAATATGTCACGGCGCTCTATACATTCGGATTCGGACACTTCCAATCGGTTATCGCAGGAACTATCGGAAAGCGGTATTTACGTATCGACGAATAACGAAGAGGACAAAGAAACAAACACACAGAGTCGTAAAGTAAGTACAGTACAAGAATAAAGATTTCGTAACGTACAACGCGACCGCCCCGATTAGTTTCATTGTTAATTGCTAGTTGGAAAGTACCGCCCCCTATCTGTAATGCTTTGCAAGTTGATCGGTAGCTATATTCGCCAGAACTGGCTCGTCCCAGCGGTCAAGTACATTTTTGTTTTTACACCGACTGTGACGTCGGTGTGCCGTGTTATTTATCTCTAGCTCACTTGTACTTTTCAAAACAAAGGGACTCGGTGATTTATCTCCCTTCAACTTTGGCTAGTTTTAGTACTAAATTTCGATCCGTCAACTAACAACGAAAACGATACGGCCGGTCGTGTTATACGATTCACCTTTAATAATGTAGTAACTGTTCTCATTAGACGGAAGTAATGGACGAAAGTTGCGTATTGCCGTCAGAGCTACACGCTTCTAATGTTAATACGCGATCTCGGCAACAATACACAAAAAAGCACGTCGAACAGTATCATTCGCATAGAGAAGTAGTTTACACAGTTCCTAGGAGTTCAACGAATTCGGAACCAAGGTTTGTAGTTTATTTAAGCACGGTTATACCGGGTGCTCGATATCCAAAAGAAATCAATTATTTTTAACCATTTTCCTTTTTTTTTTGTTTCTGTTCGTATCAGACAATTAATGCATTCTGCTACGCCATTGAAACATACAGACTCTCGAAAGTACGGTGTCACGACTTCCATCGACTCTGACACAGAATTGGAAGATGCGGTATCGATATCGAGCAAGTACAACGAGGGGAGAAAAATAACGCAATATTTCCTAAGTTTCGTAGCTACTATTGTCTACGGGTTCAACAAAGTACTTGAATTTCTAAAGCTAAAGACGGTTAGGAGAAGAGAATATCGCGCTACTTACGAATATCAGAGATACGGTATTACTGGATTATTAATATCTATGGAGAAATTTATTTCTATAAATATTAATTATCTTCAATTGCAGAACCGGCAAAGTATAAAATCTGGTGGCAACGCGTTGATCGTTGCTTGCAGTATGTTTACCTGTTTATGGTAAAAGTGTTCTGCTTCGATTCGTGGCTGTTGAGCCGGTTTTCCAGTGTCAGAAGATGGACGCAACAGAGGAGCCCACTGATCCTTTGGATCGCTCTATTGCCATTGCTTCTCTTGACCGGTAAATTTCGATCAAGTCATTTCAAGAGATTCACTGATAACGAAATATATGTTCTCATATTCATATTTTCTTATCGATCGTGTTCATCCGCGTAATCGAGTTTTTGCCGTGGCATCTTCGGGGAGATCGGCGAAACCTATCCTGGCGTTTGTTTTTCTTTTTGTTTCAGGGCTTTACATCGTGAAAAAACAGTCCGTTATCCATCTGGATTCGCTGCACAATATTCCCTATGATATCTCCGAGACGAGCTATCGCATCTTTAACGATATAATTAATTTAGCATGTTCAAAAAACGATCTATTTATCGAGCACATAAAGAAACTTAAAAATTTACCGGTATACCTTATACCTAGTGTGAACGTGTCTTTACCCGAGATGCCACCTAGCATTGGTTGGAACATAAATTGATTAACCGCCGGGTTGAACTGTTTCCGCGCGAGATCTATTTTTCACTAACGTTCATTTAATCCTTTCTTTATATGTATCTCGTAATAACACGGCACTTAGATAGAATTGTTTTACTTTGCATCTCTCTAGATTCTTCATTTTATTATCGTTGCTATGTTCAAGCATTGTAATCAGCGTTGCGTTCGTAAAATGCGCTTACTAATCTTTTGTTTAATATTTTTGGTGTCCTATTATTGATGTTCGCATAATTTACTAACCAAACATGGTACTTTGGTAACTTATATATATTGCATTTACTAATCGAAAATTATAAATATTGTTGAGGTGAACGCGTACTGTCGTATTATATGTTTGCGTGTGTGCGTATGTGTACATGTATAGGAATATTTGTACATATATGCATTCGTGCACGATATCTTTTATAATTTGACGTAATTTGATCACACGAATATGTATGTCTGCTGTAATAATAAGAAAAACATTGAAAAAGTTATCTTTACGTATGCTTGGTGCTGTGGCATCTGTAAAAACACGTTCATACGCCGTTGAACGCGTTTGTTGAAATTTTGCTTTCATTAGAATGACGTTTGTAACATTTTAATACAGTATGTGTAAAAAAAATTTATTGTAATTAATGAAGTCTAGCGAATGGATAAATTAAAAGACGGGAGAAGGATAGATGGAGTAGGATTGCTTCACTGGCGATGTAAAATTGGAGTATTCGTTCTTGACGGGGAATATGGACATGATCGATATCTTGACGTCATCGGAATGGTGAGTCCCTTCGTCTATCCTTCTCTCGGTAGCTGTATCGAACCATAAAACCGTCAGAACTTAACAAACTCTACACACTAATTTTTCAGGTTCTTGGTGCCTACCGTATCTATCGACATCGTTTCTACCGACCAAAATCATAACGCGACAAATCGAGAAAGCCTCGGATCTGTTTGCAGCGGATAAACTGCAATCGTTCGGAGAGGAATATCTCGAAAAGGAGGGCGACTTTACGCCGATCGCGGAGAGATTAAACAGCAGAACCAACAGTTTAGAGCATCGAACAATTGACCAAACTGTAAGAATTTTGCGCTGATTTCTAAGATAAGATACCATTAATCTACCTTTCGCTTTATGAATTCAATAATAATTAAACGTTGAACGTGTGCAGAATCGTCTTTTAAATATTAGTAGAATGCTCGAGAAATTGAAGGAAAACGACTTCGTTTGGTCGGAGTACAACGTAAGTAGAAAAGAACCGTTTGCGACAGTTTCGAGATTGAACCTGTACATCGTTCCTTCCAGAACAAGATGGTGCTACTCGAAAAGAATTTAGAAGGTCGTGCGTTCGGCGACGCGCATGCGCACGAAATCGAAGCCATTAAATTGCAATTGAAAACGTTGAAGGAACTTTATTCGGAGTTAAAATCGTGCTGCAACACCCACGTAAGCGTGATCAGTAACGATGACTTGGAGAAACGCATCGAAACGATCGTAGCCGGACATTTCGATGGCACGACATCGAAAAAACATACGATCAATGTCATCAAAAATTCCATGGTCGCGGGCGACGTGAAAGATCCGAAAACGCGTAAGCTGATGTTTCTTAAATTATGCGCATGTAGAATCGAGGAATTGGAAATCACCGTACGCGTTACAATTACATAATATTACAGTTCAAGACGAATCGTGGGAAGGTAACGACAATGTGGCAATCGAGCGTATGCAAGAAATAGTTAGGAATGCCTTAAGGATATACGACGCGGACAAAACAGGACGCGTCGACTACGCTTTAGAGACGGCTGGTAAGTTGGTAGTAAACTTGGCGATCTTCGTAGAGCTAACGTTGTTGTTAACGCAGGTGGTCAGATTATCAGTACACGTTGTACACAGAAATACGATATAAAAACGCGAGCTTTCAAAGTGCTGGCATTCACGCTGTACCACGAGAACAACAATCCTCGAACGGTGATACAAGGAAATCCAATACAACCGGGCGCTTGTTGGGCGTTTCAAGGATTTCCAGGTTATCTGTTGATCAAATTACGCAGTTTCATACACGTTACCGGATTCACGGTCGAGCATGCGCCAAAATCAATTTTACCCAATGGAGAGATGAGGAGTGCCCCGAGAAAGTTCAATGTCTGGGTAAGTAATTAATTTATTCTTTATTTATTACGGTTTAGCTAATTGTACGTGCGCAGGGTTTCGTTGACGAGAACGACGCCGAGCCTGTGATGTTCGGTGATTACGAATTCGCAGCCACGGACGACAGTTTGCAATATTTCCCCGTTCAAGTAAGTCGAGTTCATTTACTACGCACGTTATGAACGTCAGGTTTCGTCGAGTCCGTTAAAAATGCATTTCAAAATACTGTTTTATTTTTTTTATTTTCGTGCGTAGAACACGACGATCGAGAAGCCTTACGAATACGTCGAGTTAAGGGTTCACAGCAATCACGGACAGCTCGAGTATACATGTTTGTACAGATTTCGCGTGCATGGGAAACAGGTGTAAATTTTACAGTGAAGATATATAAAAACGTACGTTTCTGTGTCGTTGCGATGTATGGTGTAAAAACAGGAATGCAGTTTTGGGCGTCAGTTACCGTTGGTAGACGATAGAACGTGTTCAGCATTCGAGGATTGGGCCCCGGGTTTACGTGACTCCGATCTTCGTCGTTTTGTTCGTGCGCGTGTTGTGCTCTCTTTTTTCTAATCGTAACGTTTAAGCACAAAGGTAACAACCTGCCACGACGAAATGACGTTTTCGTGGAGAGGTTTTTACGCGGCTACTTAAAAATCTGTGTCATCGTACTCTTTCGTTTTGCGACGAGACGAAAAGGAACGAACCAAAACCGTAATACCCGAGAAAAGAATACTCGTCGGCGTTCCAAATATTATCCAAAGTTAAGTATTTCATTAAAGTTGTAAAGTTTATGGCGACAGTACAAATTGTAAAACGGAAAAACAATTTTTTAGCTTAAGGATTGCATATACGGAGTGTTTCTACCATCACTTTGATCATGATATCGTGTTTTTCTTTCTTTTTTTTAGAAGTTTAACTTAACACCGTAGGCTCGTAATATATTTCGCTTGTACACGTATGTACATATGTACACGTGTGGGTACATGTGTACATATACATATACGTTAAACATGTATAAAGTACCAAGAAACATTATTTTCTAGATGTACATTTTTTTTTGCATTCGATCCTCAAGCCCAACCGATCGCAGTCTCTAATTGCGTGAACGTTTCGTAGCGTCGTTACTTTTTCGTTTCCCTTTCTCCCTTCCTTCCCTGTTTCTTTCAGCAGAATATTTACACGGTCGTTGCGTAGGTCTTACCTTGCTTGTTTTTTTTTTTCATAATATTATTTATGAATATAAAAGATAATGTAGTGGCGTAGATAATAACGAACTCGACTGGAAATATTACACCGCGTCGAGTTCAGTCGACTTATTACGGTGACAACCGATCTGCGTTATCGAGATCGATAGGACGGACATATCGATATCTTGACAAGTTTATACAAGTCGTGAAAGAGACAAGTGAATTTTGTTGCGATAAAGACATAAAGTGTGATGTGCGACAGTGATACGTGAATATACACAAACTTACTGCATTCGAGGTAAGAAATTCCTATAACGAGCACGAACTTATCAGTGAAAACGATATTGCACGTAATACAACGTCAGCTCGCGAAAGCAAACTAACGGATTAACAAGTGGACGGTTTAAATGTTTGTAATACGTTCATTTTCTATTAATTTTTCGTAGCTCTTGTTAAGGTCAAAAATCGGATATTGTCCGTTGCGTGAAACGAAACGGTTATACATACAAGTAACGTGTGCCTTTAGTTTATTTTTGTATTAATAGTATCCGCACTCTGTACCGGATATCGTTCGTATTTCGGAGCACGTTGTTCCGTGAAACAATACTGTAACTGAAGTTGAGCGTTGAAGTAGCTCGATTCTTATCGGATTTTTCCTCGGCATTTGCATACGCAAACCAGTCGAGATATTTCTCGTAAAAATTAAGTGACACGCACAGCGCCATCTAGAATTCATTTAGTTAAACCTGTATTTTTCTGAAGTGATTTTTAAATTAAAGAGTGTGTAATTTTCGAAAGGTGATATTCTCGATGTACGACTCGGTGTCTCTCGAATTACAATTCTTTTCGGCCCTTTCCCTTCTTCGTTAGCCATAAACTGTAGCACAAAATGTGAACGTTGACCTTCGCACGATATGCAAAAATCGCGGGAAAAAAAGTAACCACAAAATCAGTGTTTTTCTCTGTTCGTGTTTGGTTCAACGATTTTGAAACTAAATTTTCTGTGCTAAATGGTACCTTGTAACGAGACGTCAGTCACAAAAAGGGTTTAGGTTTAGTCGAGAATTAGTTTCGGAAATATGTACGAGGGGTCAAAGTTCCTTGAAGCAGAGATGATCGAAATTTCTATCTAGATAAAAGTCTCGAATAACGAATAAAAGATAAACTGTCGTTTGCTCGTTACCTGTTGAATAGAAATAAATAATTAAATCGTAACGAAGGGATACAAATTTAACTGTTTTATGGAATAAATTGCTGTACGTATGAATTTATTGTTCGAATAAAATTTTGCTCGTTTCTGCTTTGGAAGTACGAATTTTTATTCTTATATTTTTACTTGAGGTATCATTTGGCATAAAATACAGTTCCAAAATCGTGGAACCAGAAATTCAGACCTCCTTTCTGATCCCAGGTACGATATATCCCCTTTCACGGACCCTGGTGTGCACAGTGCAAGAAATAGCGTAAAATCTCAATAAAGAAAAGCTTTGTTATGGACCCTATTCGTCGAAGTAAAGCGTGAGATCGTCTCGATACCAGAGATCACCATTTTATTCGAGTAACAGGTATGATCAATGTCTAGCAATTTGTTCGTAACGTTTATTCGATCGAACGATTTAATGTTTATTCCTTATTATTTTATTTAACGAACAATGCATCGACAATGTTTTATTCGTTATGAAAACTCTTGCGTGATTTGAAGTTTGTTTATAATTTATTTTACTGGTAATAGTCGTATTAGACATAATAGCATCGATTTTAATGATCTTGAAATATGTTATTGGAAACAAGATTTGAATAACTTTTCCCCATACATATGACCACCGTTCGGTTTTAGTTTTCGAAATATTCGAAGAAAACTTCAATCAAATTTAGGTTAGTTTATTTTGGCGTACGTGGCCGCGACTTTTTATATAACCTAATCTAAATTTAATATAATAACTATTAGATAATAACTATTTTTTATATAAATAAGGTATAGAATCTTGCAGTTTATTCTCATCTTCGATTTAGTAAAGCTAAACGTAACCTAAAATTCCAAACCCTCAAAATACGATATTCGGTATTAAAAGTATTTCTGGTATAAATTATTCATTTGGACGAATGTATACATTTTTGGAGGGGGCAAACCCATCGCTACTGGGTGTCGAAAAGTTTGGTAAGAACAAATTTAGACGTTGATTTTTGAATCACCTGTTTATTCACGCGAAACAAGAATAGATTGAAATATCTGTGTTAATAATCATACGCGTACACACGTGTGCGTACACATCGCTTAGGTACATGGAGCGCGTGTACGCATTTTTACATGCATATACGTGCATTTTATACATTACACTTTGTGCGTGTGCGCGCGGGAGCGCGCACGCGCTCGTAGTTGGTACTGATATATATATTTATTTATATATATAAAGTATATAATATATATTATATATTACATAAGTTATAATGTAATATACATTATATATAAAATTGTACAAGAATCGAATCGAATAGAATACGCATCCTTAGCCGTTTTTTTTTTTTTTCTTCTCTCTTTTCGTTTCTACCTGCGCGTCCGAACAAACAAACAACCGAATAAAAAAAAATGCATAACCGTTGTCGTTGACACGGAACATTCGTGGATTCGAACAATTCAGGACCGTCGGTCAGATTCATTCCTGCTTTGTAATTTTTTGTTCTCACGCGAAACGTTCGACGTGTATTGCGCGCCCGAATAAACTGATCGTTTGCGTAACGAAACATAAAGCGCAAGAGAAACGAAACGAATTACGCGTGTTCGGCAAAGATTTCGGAACGATGACGAAGTCGGAATGGCTTCAATACTGATCTTGGAATGGTTCGTAATTCCCTCAACCCGGGGAATGCGTCGAAGCGTTAAATAATATTCGTTGATGTAAAAAAAAGGGTTATTCCCCGTTGGCGTATCGCGCACGCCTACGCGGGAACTCCCACTTTTTTCCACCAGAGTAAAAATCGGAGATCATCTATCGGAGCGTAAATAATATATATATATGGTGCATATATATATATACGCGGAAACGAGGAATTCCGGTCGCGCGTTGTTTTCATTTAATCGACAAGCATTTGGAAGAACGTTGATGTGTGCGTGCGCTGTTGCGTGTATAAGTTTTATGACCGCTTTTACGATCGCCTTCCTCAAAAATTTAAGAACGTGAACAAATAAATAAATACTATACGTCTACTACGTACGGATAACTCCATTCGCCATTTGACCCGTTTTACGAGCGAATGTTTACGGTACACGTCGACTGTGTCCCTCCAAGCAACGACGCGTGATCTTTTCTCTCTTTCCTTTTTTTTTTTTCTCTCTTTTCCTTTTATCTCTCGTTTCGCTCTGTTTCAAATTGCCGAAAATCGGAGTTGTCGCCGTGATATCGTAGCAGTCATAACAACAATAAGTATACTATAAACTAACAATATAATATAATATTATAATAATAATAATATTAATAATAATAATAATAGTAATAATATTAATAATAATAATATTAATAATGATAATGATAATAGTGATAATAGTAGAAGAGATATTAGTACATAGTAACAGGTGTAGAAAGCAGTGGGTAATCGTCGGTGGTCGTTAGCCGTCGTTTACAGTCGTTCGTCTTAAATAGCGGGAACAGTATTAGTAGAAGTGGTGGCGTGGGGGGGGGCGTAGTAGTGGCAATAGCAATCGTAGAATCGTTATAGGTTATGTCGTTGCAGTCATGGTAGCGGTCACGATGGTGAAAGTAGCAGTAGCAGCGACAGTGGTAGTGGTAAATGAAACAATAGAGATAATGTGATCGGTGTTACTAATATTACGGTCCGCGAGTCGTTCAGGATTCTTTTTTTTATCATTTGTCATTTTCATCTTCAATGCCCTTTTCGTGCCAATCGTGTAAACGTGTCCGTGTATTCTGTGCATCAGTTTCATTTCACGAGCGTCTAAAAAGCATGTACAGCCCCCGCTCGTACGTTCGAGCGTGATTATTTTTAATCGCAGAGAATTTAGGCGCCAAATTACCGATAAAAGGACTCTATCTAATCTATCTAGTTTTACTTATCGAAAGCATATCCTGCATAAGTAACGTGTACGGTCGTTGATTTTTGCTAAGGAAGTATACCGATATAAAAGAGAATAAAAAATAATTAATCGCCGCAATAACGGACGACGATGTTCAACATAAATAATTAATTAATAATTAATTGGATAAAAACATGGCGCAATACGCGAGCGCAAATATTCTGTCGACTAGATTCGTATGGGTTCATCGCACGTACGATTCGCTCATACCGCTTCGTTTTCATACTTTTGTTATTACAACCGTTTCCAACGAACGGAAACGACGAAGACAATGGCGACGACGCGACAAAGACGGGCCGAACTTTCGTCTTACGAACAACGATCGAACAGTCGAATAATTCTTCTCGATTCGTTGTTTCCTGGACGAGCATTGCTCTCAGAGTTATGCAATCGAATTGTGGTCCATAGTCAGTGGCGTAACGAAGTGTTCTAGGGGTCTGCATTTTCTAAAAAACGATTTCAATTACTTTTATTTAAACAAGTTCTTTAATAAATATCCCATTGATTCACCAGAAATATTCTATATGAAAATTAATGTTCTTCTAACAAAATTCTGTTAAGTTTAGTGGGCCCTAGAGTTCCCAGTTACGTCACTGTGTACGTTGGACGAGTAAAATCGTATCTGAATAATTGTTCAGTGGAGTAAACGAACCGAACACCGGTTCGTTTCTGATTATTTTTCAATTATAATGCGGAAAAGTTCCAAAATTGTTTTACCCAGGAATATTTTACACGAATTATTCTGTTTAACCTAAATATTGGTTTGCAAGCTTCGTTGATCGTTTCTCATAAAACACCTAATATATCGAATTACCAGTTTACTCCACGGAACGAATAAAAGCGTATCCAAATATCTGTTTATTCGAATATTGCGAATAAATCGTTATTACTCGAATAAAGTTCTACCCGTCTCTGCAAAACGGTAGCGTTCGTCACGCCATCTTTATGCTCGTGGTCCATTCCCTTTTAAAGGCTATTTCTCGAAGTGTGTTTCATACCATAATTTTATTCCCGAATAACGAATACAAATTTTAGAATAACTCGTAAACCAACAGTTTCACAATCAGTTTAATTCATCTATTCAAATACGTAATACGAGTTAGCAAAGATTTAGAATGTACGTTATATTTTAGGTTAGGAAGCACCGATTCTAATTGTCGAGTAAATATCATAATTGAAAGCTTGATGAACACGGTAAATCATCGAACGGGTATAAAATTTGTATTCGTTGTTCGAAAATAGAATTTACCCAATGGTGTCGGCGATTTGTAAGCGTTCGAGCCCCTCCGTTCGATCGGTCGTTGGCATAGTCTTTGTCGTAGCGTTCGATCGTTCCGAAAAAGAAAAGAGGAGGTATGATTGTTGTTGCAGCGTGCTCCGAATCCCCAGTTCAGGAGTGTTCTCGGTCATACGGACGTCGCGAAGGAAATTAGAGTGAACGAATGTCGGGATTTGCAATAGTCTGCGTACAATCGTCGCGATTGTGATCTGGAAGTCGCTGGCATCTCGTTTCCCACTGTTCTTCGTCGACCTCGTTGGAATCATTCATCGTGGATGTCGTAAACGGACCCTTCGCGATGAAAGCGCGTCTGTACTCTTTTCCTCTTATTTCTTGCGGCCTAGGTACTCGACCATCTCCTGGAACTTTTCCTTCTCGTCCTCGAGCAGCAACGCTTGAATACAGCTTGTGAAGTATTCCGTACCAAAGCAGCTTTGCCTATTGGGAAAACATCGCCCGAAACTATTAATTGGATCAACCAAATGAACAATTTTCAATATTCTCCTGGCCCCACACAATCATCGGTTTCTTAATATAACCTCATTTGGCACTGGTAGCAGTTATACATATTAACACATTGACTGCCAGACCAAAACTATACAATTCTTTGCCAGACCAAAACTTTGATTTTAGACAATTATAAGCTACATAACTTAAAATTTGTTTTACCATTTATTTTTATAACCTCACTAAAATTCATGAATTCTGTTCAAATTTCAACTTTAACATTTCATCCTGAGAATTAATTGTTCTAGTTCCATAGTAAAGAATCCTGTCACCCATATATGGATGACGTGGCGGTCAAAGTGTTAAGGGAGACTTTTAATCTAGAACGTTGCAAAATCCATAGTACAATTGTTACTACCGACAAAATTATATCAAGAAACTAATTTTTGTGTTTCCTTTTCGTCGCTAGATCGATGTTTGGGTAACGGTGCTTAGAATTCGATGTTTAGGATCCGTTCGTTTAGACTTTCTTTAAAGTTCGTTCGATTGAACTTTATTCGAATGAAAGAATTGCAAGAGTTTCGCTGGTACGTCCAACTCCGCGTAGAGGAAATACAAACGACGAAACAAACGAATCCGTTAGCGGGATGTATAATGCATTAGCTTGCGACTGGGAAAAGAGCGTCGCGGTTATGTTCGATAAAAATATGCGGGACGACGGTCCGCAAGACGCAGTGCGTCGTGCGTGAAAAATCGCATGGTCACAAAAAAGAGAAGAAAAATGTGCCGTCCCGCTTGTCTCTGGCAAAGAACCTGCAAAAATATTTCATCGTTGCGGAAAACACACATTTTGTCGTCTCCGTTCTCGCGATATTCGAGGACGTCCTGTTTCCCTCGGTTCTCTGAAAAATGTTCCGTTAGCGTCGTGGTCAAAATTGGTCTTCGACGCGCAAAAATACGTTCGACAAAAATATCGACAAAAATTGTTGCTCGTCGCGTTTAAAAGCGTCGAAGAACGACGCTTGCTGGACGAAAAAAGGGATTCGTGTAGAAGAGGAATGGGCAAAAAAATAGTTACCCTTCCACTAGCGCCGTTAGCGGAGAAATTACGAAACACAACTACTATCCTACGCAGAGGATGCAGTTTATGGTGTTCCTGATAGCTCCTGCGCAGGTATAGTTGTCGTGTTTCACAGGCTCTTCGATGGTGGCGCTAGTAGTATTACAGACAACAATTTTTTGGTTACGTTTTTAGTAATGTATCAACTTATAAGCGAGTTCTACCATACTTGATCCTCTATTGCCATACTTGACCCTAAACTATGGTCTGTGGAACAGCTGTGTTCAATAATGGACGACAAAACACACCGGAAGAATAACCGATCGTCTTTCTTGAATTTTTACAGTAATATCTACTCAAGGTTTGATACGAAAGTTTGTCTTTTTATAGATACGTATTCATGTAAATATTCTTCTATACAAATGTATTTTCTATTCGTAAATTAATTAATCTTCCAATTGAACTGTGGATCTCCTAAAAATTTGCAAGGTTAACTTTCCAAGTGTTGTTTCTATCGTTTTCTCGATCGCGTAAATCTTGCAACGGAGGGTCAAATAATGGGAACTACTGTTTTCCTTTCCTCTCGAAAAATCGTACGATATCGTTGGATCGAATATGTTTATTGAACTTCGTGGCAACGGCGAAGAATCGTCCTTTGTTTAAGCCGTGTTACGCGGAGTGTGGTCCTCTTCAGAACGTTAAATATAACATGAGCGATCGTTCCGAAGTGTGCATAACTTGTTTATGTAGCGCGTCAAGTTGGACGAAAACACGTTGAGTTTCACGATGTTTTACAACGTTATCGAGAGGAAAGAACGAATATTATCCTCCATTTGCAAAAATAAAACAATGTTTGCACGATGTTTTGTGCTGTTTGGTTTTCAGAGTCATTGTAAAATTGTGTTTCGATGGTGAATTTTCATCGAAGCCAGTAAGTTTGATATACAGTTTACTGGAGATATTTGAATGAGAGTTTTGCCCCCGTCCCCGGTGTTGTGCAATGTTACCTGTTGTTGCATGGTCGACGGAAAATTACCTAATTGCGTGTACACGGCGTGCGTGAGTTTCGTGTGTCATCGTGTGTACCAGGTGCAGCGTAGAGTGGTGGTTTTTTGTGCATTCTTGGAACGACGTCTGGGCGAACCGTTTGTACGATATATCGGGTAACAACTGGGTCGGTTCGATAGATACGAGAGCGTCGACGACGAGCAACGAAAACAAACGTACGCAACGATGGCAAAATAGAAAGAGAAAAACGAGAAACGAGAAACGAGAAACGAAGAACGAGGAAGACAAGTTAAAGAAAATATAAGAAATAAAAGCTTGAAATTTCGCGAAGAGGGGGAGGATCATGATCGGTGATCTCCAAGCTTTCTCGAAGGGCTCAAATCTTGGAAATCTCTGCGTTTAAAATTTCTACTGTACTGGTTTCAAAGAGCAATTAAAGGTATCCGAGTTAAATTGATTGGAAAATTCTCAAGCTGATAAATAAATAATATCTGTTATATCGTATATTGCAAGTATAGTGATTTGGAGGCCCTGTTCCGGAAAGCACCGATTTCGAAGAGGACGTAGGATAAAATGGCCGTGGAAAGCGAGGCTAGGTGGGGAAAGCTAATGCAAAAATGAAAACGCGCAGAAAATGAAATCATAAACGTAAAATAAGAAGCTACCTAAACCCCGGGCTCCGCTCCGTGTAGTTGCTTGATCCACGTTTGGATCTTCTCTACCTCGTCCTGCAGCAATAGCACGTCTAAGCATCCTTTGAAGTAGTCTGACGTGAAGCAGTTTTTCCTGGAAACATTTCAAAATACAAACGCTACAGGCGGGCAGACCCTGGGGGACACGCGGGCGTATCGTTCGCCTTGCGATTCGTCCTAGAGGTCCGTGGAAACGCTGCAAACAAACGAGACGTTTCGAGGAGAGCTTCCAGACAACCTTCGACGAATTCGAGACACCGAAGATCACGGAAACGGCCGCCATTAACTGCGAGATTACATCGTAACCGGATATACAGACTGTACGATAAAGATTTCAGCGCTATTTCGTTGGAAATTAACCCATTTTTAACCGTAGTTTGTTATCATTATTTGTTTATTACTCGAATCGAAACCAACGTGGATGAATTTTTTAACAGATTCTTACCGTAGTTTGTTATCATTAGACTGCGGATCTTTATGCAAATTCATATTTTTATTAAAAGAATTAATCAAATGGGAGCTTTGTAGATGATTGTCTCAACCCTTAAATATAATAATTCGTATCTTACTTTAAGTATTTCTTATATTTTTGCATATTAAATGCATTCTGTAGTTTTTTGAGGATTAAAATTTCCCATAAATGCATAAACATCCGCAGTCTAGTTATCATTATTTGTTTGTTACTCGAACGAAACCAACGTGGAAGAATTTTCTAACAGATTTTGACCGTAGTTTGTTATCATTATTTGTTTGTTACTCGAACGAAATCAACGTGGAAGAATTTCGACGATATCGAGATTTAGATAGGCATTTTTCTATTCGATCGCTCGTCTCTGATCCATATGCAAAGCGGTTCGATCGCGATCGTGGAATAGGAGAGTCGGGCGCGAGTGGCACGAAACAGGAAGCAGAGCAAGGGGCGCGGCTCCGTTCGGGAGAACACAGTGGCTATGGTCGAAGCTTGTCGCGTGGATAGCACCGACCAACCAAAACGCGCCTACGTAACGAATTTCCTTTCTTTCCGAGAAAAAGGCGCGCTACGATCGAACACGATCGCCGGATGACGCAACGGAACCGTTCGATTTCGCTGAATAAAACCGACGGAGCGAAAAATTCGCGTCACACTGCCGCGCGCAATCTCGCAGCGAGAGAAGACGACCGTTCCCCGATACGACGCCGAATATTTCGGCCGCTAGAGGCCGCCAAACCTCCGACACCCCACCATGACACCCCATCATCAGCGGTTCTCAACGTTAAAGATCATTTTTCGAGCTCGGTGGCTCTGGGACGACTGGACTTGCGAATCTTTATGCAAATTTATATTTTTATTAATGGAATTAATAAAATAGGAGCTTTGCTACTTTAAGTGTTTAAAATTTTTACAATAAATACATAAAAATTCGTAGTTTGATAATGAAAAATGGGGACAGTTTGAGGTTAAGAATCGCTGATCCCAGGTCTCCAATTATAAGCTATTTTAAGTGTTTAAAATTTTTATAATAAATGCATAAAAATTTGTAGTTTAATAACGAGAAATGGGGAAAGTTTGAGGTTAAGAATCGCTGATCCCAGGACTATAACGCTTTCTCTTAAATATGGAGGCAGTTCGTGGCGTCGTAGTGGGGGAAAGCGGTCAAAGTATTTGGCGGTGACGTTATCAGTGCTTCCTAAAGATCCTGTTCGGGGACTGAACAAACACACATATGTACTTCGACACTGTTCTCGAGAGGTGGCCCACAACTCTGGAAGGTTATGGTACTCCGGTTAAATTTGGTTCTCGAACGATTACGAAAAAATTTATAGTTAGACATTTCTTTGCCTTTGTGATTGCAAAGTAGTTTGGAAGAGTTTGTAGGGTAAATGTAGCGGATGATTACCTGCACAGTTGATGCAGCTGAGGTTCTCGAAACAGGTTGTAACAATCCTCGCAGATACGATCCAGCCGGGCGAAGATGCTCTTGTCGTATATACCCTTACATTGGATATCGATAAAGGACCTTTTACCCAAAGGATGCCCGTTCAGGATCCCGGCGTCCGTCAGGCCGATGCACGAGGACACCAGCAACAGCGTCACGGACCAAGCCAACACGGATACGAGTCGCGGGCAGGGTATCGATACCGAGACGATGGACGACTCGCCGGACAGCGACGATAACCTCGAGCATGAGGTCTGCTGGACGCTCCAGGTGTACGGCGACGTCGACCACGCCGACGACGACGACAGGGCGGTGGACGACGACGGGGACGCCGTCTTCGTTGTCAGCGTCGTTATTGGCTCGGACGTGGCCGTCGACGGGGACGTCGACGACAGCGACACGGTCGAGATGGACGACCGGGACGCCGAGAATGGCAACGATAACGACGAGGGAGACGACGATGGCGATCGAAGCCTCTGTTGTCGATGCATAGTCTGGAAAAAAATAAAAAGAAACAAACGTCTTAAAAACAGAAACCAACGGGACCAAGCAAAAAGGAAATTTACGCGCCATTTTTAAATATTTAGCGTTTCGTTCCTATTGATATGTAAAGTATCTCTTTTTCCTTTAACTGGTTTAACAAGAAGAAACTAGTATGCCGTAACCCAATCATCGCCATTGCTTTCGACAAATTGTTTTGAAAAACTTTCGGTCCAATATGCTTCTTCGCTAAAATGGAAAAAATAAAAAGAAACAAACGTCTTAAAAACGGAAACCATCCGGACCGAGCAAAGAGGAAATTTACGCGCCATTTTTTAATATTTAGCGTTTCGTTTCTATTGATGTATAAAATGTCTCTTTTTCCGTTAATTCGTTTAACAAGAAGAAACTAGTATGCCGTAACCCAATCATCGCCATTGCTTTCGACAAATTGTTTTGAAAAACTTTCCGTCCAATATGCTTCTTCGCTGAAATGGGTCGGTTCTCCTTCGGGATCATTTTCTATCATTATCCGCATTATCCATTACAGCAGATGCAATCATGCGAAATAAGCTAACGATCCGTCTATTTCACTTCGCTGCAGAATCTCGACCGGAGACGAAAAGGTTGATACTGCCAGTAAAAGTCTACTCCGTCGAGCTTGTTTACAAATAATGTTATTCCCTATTTGTTCTCAATGGTAATTTTACGCATTATATGGGGAAAATTATGAATACGAAATTGAAAGGAAATCTGCGTGTTTGCGATATGCCTCTAACTAGGGCTACTTTTGTCCAATCCGGATGAAATTTTACTTGGTTGCTTGTCGTAATCCAAAAGTCTTCCCAAGAAAGAGGAAAAAGAATCTACGTTCGTGAGGTGCATTTCCGCGATCGAATGTATTTTAACACGATGTCGACGAAGAAACGAGGAAGAGGCTCAACGAACCAAGAACTATGCAACAGCACTCAACGACGTAACATCGTGCAATGAAACACCACGATTTCTAAAAGAAACCTTGAATAAATAACCGACATAATGATTCGGTATAAATAGCGAGGAATCGTTACAGGTCAATCTACCAAAAGACTGGAAACAAGATAAATGGAAGATTATATAAAAAATTCTCGGAACATATAGAAGACCGGAATGAAAAATTTACAGTAGGAAAGTTGGAATAGAATAAACTAACTAACTAACTAACTGCAAACTAAGTAACTAACTGACAAACTAACTAACTAACTGACAAATTAACTAACTTGCTGACAAACTGACTAACTTACTGACAAACTGACTAACTAACTGACAAACAAACTAACTAACTGCAAACTAAGTAACTAACTGACAAACTAGTTGGATTGCACCAGACATAGCAATAATTGCTGAGAAAGTCGTCGAAAAATTCGAAAGATTCGAAAGACTCAAAATAAGATAAATGGAAGATTATATAAAAAATTTTCGAACATATAGAAGACCAGAATGATAAATTTGCAGTAGAAAAGTTGGAATATTGATTGTACCAGACGTAGCAATAATTGCTGAGAAAGTCGTCGAAAGACTCGAAACAAGATAAATGAAAGATTCTATAAAAAATTCTCGACCATATAGAAGACCAGAATGAAAAATTTGCAGTAGAAAAGTAGGAATATTGATTGCAACGGACGTAGCAATAATTGCTGAGAAAGTCGTCGAAAGACTCGAAACAAGATAACTGAAAGATTATATAAAAAATTCTCGAACATATAGAAGACCAGAATGAAAAATTTGCAGTAGAAAAGTTGGAATATTGATTGCAACAGAGATAGCAACCGTCTGAGGAGCACCGAATTTGAAGAAAATTTGCCCCTTTTTGCGGAGGTTTGTAAGTCGTGGAGTCTCGAAATCGTTAGCTGGGTGATCGTAATAGCGGGGTTTTGGCAACTACCGCCGAGGACAGGGAGAGACAACCGTGAAGATAACAACGACAACAACGAGGAGGACGAAGGAGGATGACGAGGAGGATCGGTGTAGCCTGCGGTGCACGCAGGGTGCTCCGGTCGAGGTACCGGGCGGACACACGAAGCGGTTCGAGAGGTAAAAGTAAAGATGTAAAGCGCTCCTAACCAGTCCCGCGGCAGTCGCTGTGAATGGACCACACGCAGGTAGGCCCCACCTGTAAACGTCCTGAACCGACAACTTCATTAAGCGGAGCCGAAGCGCAGAGCGGCACGGCACGGCACGGTACTGCATAGCAATGCAAGGTACGAGGGGGACCTTCTTATGCCGTGGCGATGCGGGGCAACGCGAGATTCTCCAACACACCACACGGAGGAGCTCTCCTCTCCTCACGGGTTCTCTTCTCTCTCTCTTACTCTGGTCCTTTTTTATTCGTCTCATCGGCGGCACCTGCGCACGCTGAAGGAGAGCGTTTCGCCCAGTTCTCTTTTTTCGGAACATAATCACCGCTCCCGGGTGGGATCTTATTTTTAGCCACGGACCGATTCTCGGAACTCTCGGAACCGCTTCACTCTATATCGGACCCCCACCTGGTAATTGCCTGCGGCCCGATAATTTGCCTCTAAAGTCGCTCAGTGTCGATCGTTAAAGACCGTCCTGCGGATTTCCAGGCCTCGGAGAGAGAGACTAGCCGAGGGACTCGGCTCTCCAAACGTCTCTTACCCCCTTCGATCGTCGATCATCGGCTGTCGATCCGCGGCCGCGCGACGATTAACGTCCCTCCTTAACCCTTCCCGTCGATTACCGCGCATCGTGCTACCCCTCTGCCCATCTTCCCTTCAACGCCACATCTTACACTCGAACGAATCAATTTTTTCTTTCGCTACCTCCATTTTCCCCCTAGAAACTCGAACAGTTCCACTTATATACTTATCAAGACAGATGTCGAATTTTACTAGACGAGACTGTCCGCACACTGTATTTCTTTGTAACAAAGAAATTGAAACGAGAAATTCTTAAAGAAATGTGTAGGACAATGGGAACGCTTGCGAGAGACGAAACAAGAGCGTAGCCCTCTGGCGGCGAGCACGCGAGTTATCGCCACAACTCTTAAAGAAACGTATAATACATATAATACAAGTTTATACCCATATAGACAGAGTAAATTTGCAAAAATTCTATCGAGTATATTTTTTATAATTTTTATTAAAAATTATTTCCAGTGTTAAAGTCGTGTATTAAATTTTCACGTTCAAGAGACGCAAGCCTAGCACTTTTTATTTCACTAGCAGATGCTCGGAGAAAGTGCCAAGAAAGTGGAGGCTACGTTTCAGAGGAGCTGTTTAATTTGAAAAAGTAATTAATAATTTGGAACCGAATATCGTGGATTATTGTAAACACGTTGGGAAAATAGATTGCTAGTTCTTTCGATCGTGCAGTTTTCGCTGGTCCGAGTTAGGACAGTCGACGACCTATCCCCAGTCGGTGTTTTGTTAGGCGTAACAGCGCTAACAATGCTAATTTTTACTTCTTTTTACGAACTCTATCCCGCTGCTAACGCACTGTCAACCATTGCAATTATCTCGTATTCGTTTATCACACGCGTTTCGATACTAGATTTATATTATCGTTTATAAAACGAAGCTTTATTTTTAAACACTTGGAAATCACTCAATTTGTTGTTCAAAATTCCTATTTAGATTTATTTTCCCTAACATCTTGAGAATTAACTTCTTTTGCCTTGGTGGTCACCGGTGACCGACACTTTGAACTCACAACGTATTAGAATATTATTTACAATGGAACTACCCCTAATATCTGATAAATTATAAATAACGCTACTTTAATTTAAAACATTGTAAAACAGCTAATTCATCACTGATAACAAATCAACAAATGTTAACGAGGATTCGAACGAATCTTGAAAATTAAGTTTCTTAATTTCTTAGTGGAAAATCATGTATGGGTGATCGATTCATATTGATATAAATAATAAAATTTTGATTCGTCGAAGTAACGATGGCGACTGGAACGGAAATTGCGCGGCGATACGTGGGCATGGCCAACTATAACCAAATCGACTTACGTAAAGATCAGGCCACTCTCTTTTTCGTCGAGCAGGAAAAAGACACTGTACGCGTACGAGGCTCGTATTGATTCGCGCATAACTCGAGAGCCGTGTAAGAAAATACCTCGAAGGAAATGTCGAACCGCCACGAGAGTTCCCCGTATCTCTCTCCGGGGCTTAAAAAACGCAAATACTGCTTCGAATCCTGAATTTACTAGTCAGACTTGTCGGGGCAGACCTTTACATAACGCTGCAATTTTCCTCTTTTATCGCCTGGCTATTTTTAAATATCAATTCGAACATTATGAGAAAGGGGTGTTTCTTTCGTCCATTTTGTTTTAAAATATGCATTCACTGGCCCACAAAAGTTTGGACGATCCTAAACCCAGAACTAACTTTGGTCTGCAATTTTTCTACACAATTAAGAGTAAAATAAAACCTTAAGAGCTAAAATAAGAATCTTCGATGCAGAGTTTGATATAGATCAATGATTAAAATGATCTAGAATGTTCTTGAATATTGGATCCTATCGAGAAGAAGGAGCACTATTTCTACAAAATTAAGAGTAAAATAAAACCTAAAATAAGACTCTTCGATGCAGAGTTTGTTATAGATCAATGATCTAGAATGTTCCTGAGTGTTGGATCCTATCGAGAAGAAGGAGCAATATTTCTACAAAATTAAGAGTAAAGTAAAACCTAAAACGAGAATCTTCGATGCAGAGTTTACAGATCAGAGTTTATAGATCAATGGTTAAAATGATCTAGAATCTTCCTGAATATTGTATACTATCGAAGAAGGAGCAATATTTCTACAAAATTGAGAGCAAAATAAAACCTAAAACAAGAATCTTCGATGCAGAGTTTACAGATCAGAGTTTATAGATCAATGGTTAAAATGATCTAGAATCTTCCTGAATAATGTAGGAATATCGAGGAAGGAGCAATATTTCTACAAAATTAAGAGTAAAATAAAACCTAAAATAAGAATCTTCGATGTAAAGTTTACTAT